CTCGGAGACCCGGCTTCTCCCGGAGAGCGAATCAGAGGAACGGGAGGCCCAGCTGCCCGAGACTACTGCCTGCCGCCCAAGCCAGAGCCCTCGCCACTGGCACCCTGTCCCGCCCTGTGCCTGAACAAACCCAGCACCTCCTACCAGTGGGTCACAGACCCACTGCCCCCGGGGCCCCAAGGCCAAACGTCCTGGCATCTCTATTTTCACTCTCCTCCATAGCGACCAGAGATCTGTGAAATGGATATTTCAGAAAGCCCAGTGCAAGGGCCCTGGGGCCACCACCAGCACGATCGAACCTCTTCCATTTTACTTAAAGGTAAAAGTCAGTCACATGACGCGTAATTCACTGAAATTGACCACGAACGTTTTTGGTGAAACCTTTTATTAAATAATCACTTAAGCCTTCAGTACATATTTCCTGAAAGACCTGATTGACCAGAGCCATTTAAGAACACAATTTGGTTCCTAGGTTTGGAATGTGTTAATAAATAAAAATTTTAAAAAATAAATAAAAACATTATTTGGGAGTATAAATAGAGATTTGGTTGGAACATCTTAAACTCCGAATTCTACGCGTGGCTCCTACTTCCTTACACCTGAGCCTGGCCCCTGTTCAAGCAAGAAGGCAGGAGCGTGGCGCCCACTAACCTGCTCGGCATCTCGACGGCGGCAGGTGAAACTGTCAGAGTGACACCCCAGTGGGGGCTCTGGTCGGAGCCCTGTTCTCTTGTGCCACGGAGTTCTAGCCCCTGTGGATTTACCTGTGGCCTCGAACATCACAGGGCCGTTTCCTGTTTAAATATGCACGTACATATTGACGGGTGATTTCCTTTAAAGAAGGGGGTTGGCGCAGAACAGGCTACGGCCATCTTTGCCCTCAGCTGCCCCATCTGGCGTCATTCTGGAGCTGTGGTCACCTGGCCACACACGTTCCTCTACCTTCTTCCTGCTGTGCGTGCCTCTTGGTTGTTCTTTGGCGTGAATAATGAGAACTCTTGTTTGGGGAACGACGCAACTTGCTAGAGATCCTTTCAGATGCCACTAAATGGCATCTGAAAGGCAAAGAAGGTAGAGGAACGTGTGTGGCCAGGTGACCACAGCTCCATAATGACGCCAGATGGGGCAGCTGAGGGCAAAGATGGCTGTAGCCTGTTCTGCGCCAACCCCCTTCTTTAAAGGAAATCACCCGTCAATATGTACGTGCATATTTAAACTGGAAATGGCCCTGTGATGTTCGACTTCTAGGAACACGACGGGAACACAGCCCGTAGTCCTGCTGGACACTCGGCGGAGCCAGCCAGTTTGCAGGAACGCTGCTGTTGATACAGGACCGGAGCCCACTGGAAGAAGCCTGGAGGCTCACAGCGAGGAGGGCAGATGGTGCAGGCAGGGAGGGCTCTGGCGCGAGACCTGCTGAGGGGCTTCTGCCCTGGCTGCTTCCCTCGCTCGGCCAGCGGGTGCCATCGCCAGACCTCCTCCTCCAGAGGTGGCAGCATTCCCCAGGGGTAGATTTGGGTCCCATCCCCCTCAAGACAAAAGGCACTGTGGCAACTAGAAATGATTGTTGCGATTAATCATTCCTGACATCTAAAGGGTTTTGCTCCTGAGGTCATTTGGCACAGTGGCAAAGCACACAGGCGCGAGGGACAGCACTGCTACCTTCCAGCTGGGAGAGATTGGGAACAGCACTGTCATCTCTAAAATGGGAACAGCAGTGGTGACAATCACAGCAGTAATTAGGTTACAGGGTCATCGTAAAGATTAAATGGGATCATCCTTGTAAATTACCCAGCAAACAGGAAGTATTCGACATAGTTCATTATTTCTGTTCCAAAGTACTTTCACTTGTGTTAATCCCATTTTATTTTCATGGTCATTTTGTATGTTTGCAATTATTAGGGCTATTTTACTGATGAGGACCTTGGTGTTCTGAGAGGTCCCATGTAGTCACTGAGAAGCCAGGAGCAGAGCTGGAGATGGTCCCAACATCCTCATGTCCACACCCCAGACCAGCAGAGCCACCTTGGGTCTTTGGTATGCGTCAGCACTTCATTCTCCTCACCAAACCACTCCCAGAGCTCAAAAAACCAATCGGCATGACCGTGTAGACCAGTGCTGTCAATATGATGGACGCTGATCACATGTGGCCACTTTGAATGAGATTAAATCAAGTTAAAAATTCCCTTCCTTGGTTGCACCAGCTCCTTGTGGCTGGTGGCTACCGTATTGGGTAGCGTATTTCCATCACCCTGGAAAGTCCTATTGGCTGATACTGGTCCCTCCTCTCAGCTCTGCCTTTTTCTCCTGTGCAAAAACTTCCTTTGGGTCAAAAGCAGAGCCTGTTTCATCAGCACCAGCGAGTGGGTGATACAAGTGTTTCTCGATCTACATCCAATCTGACAGCAAAGACAGAAATATTACGATTTTGACCAGAAGGAACCCAAATCCTGCCAGGGCAAAAGGGAAAATTCACTCATCAAGTATTGTTTAAATTATT